GATTAGCAAACTTAAAAGAAGTTCTCCCGTAATAGGGGAACGATTGGACAACGGGTTGGAAGGCGGGGACAATTCACGACGGTAAAAAGAAAAGAATACAAGTAGGAGTGTTTTTTCTTTAAGGTTAGTTAATTAGGAAAATAGCGGGCAAATCAAAGGAAACTGCGCAAATGAACTGAAAATGCGGACGCCCAAAACAATCAACTAATACCTGTGGGGAAAAGATTATTGAAAGCTAGAATTATGTGCCCAAACCACTATCCGTAACACTATGCCAAACACTAACCCCAAACCCTGAATTAGTTCCGAACAGTCACATTAGCCCCAAAATGCAATCTTTACCGTAAACCATAAGCCAAACATTCCCGACCAGATATGTGCATGAAATTTTTGAGTAAATCATAGATGGGGCCATATTAGAGTAATGTTAGCTCAGCACCATATCCTGTTGAATCGTGCCTCCATTTTCTACCACATGAGATGGACAATTTTGTTGAAAGACAATAAAAACTAAAGTTGCGCCAAAGGAAGACAGAATTAAGCTTTCAGTATAATATGTCATTGTTCAGAAATTTAAATGTGAACCATGGTGCAAATGAGATGACAGTGTTTGTCCTAAACGTTATCAGTTTGAATGATGCAAAGGGAAAATGCGTTTTGAAAATCTACTGGAAAACGCAGTGTGTGAATCAAAAACAGGACCAAGCAATTTTCTTCTTCTTCTTTTCAGCGAAGGACTCGAAGATTATATTTGGCCCTTCGGAGATCTTGGTCCAGTCGACGACCTGCAATTACTAGTAGGTCATCATCGTCATCATCATCTCTTTCAGTAAAACAAGATTTGGGAAGAAGAGGTTTGGCAAAATCTCCATGTTGGCTATCCATTTGCACTCATGCTCAATAACTTGCTTCGGCGCGAGTGTTTGCAGAATGCTGTCCAGCAGATCATTGTCAGTCTCAAATCCATTCCATTCTGCCAGCTCACAGCGTTCCATGACGGCTACCCGAGGTTTGTGTTCTGGTAGCAGTCCAAAACTGAACTTTACTGTGAAGGGTTTCACCAAGATGCCGAGTTCCTAAACATACACGAAAGAGGTATCAGTGATAATGCTTTTGGCAGACTTTTGTGGTTGGGCAGTTCTAGCCAGCTGGCTATTGGCGCTAAT